GGGGGGGGGGGGGGGGGGGGGGGGGGCGAAGGGTGACTCCGGAGGGCGGAGAAGATCGAAAGTTCTTTCCAAGATCTTTCTGGGGGGGGAAACCACGCCTCATCACATACTTTTTACAAGACAATCTTACAAAGGTCCCATAACCTTAACATTTTCAATCAATCATGAGATTGTTATCAGAGGCATAAGAGGAAATTTCTCATGAGTTTTACCCGCTTCTTCTTACAAGTGATTGTGTCGTGAGTGTGACTAATCATCGCACCTTTGTGTTTTTTGGCGGAGAGTCCAGCTTGATCTCCATTTAACAAGTCCTCATAGGTTGAAGCTCTCGCAGTCTTGTCAGCCGTTCTTCGCTGTGCCTGCAAATGAATAAGGAATTTCAAATGAAACCCACAACTGATGGTACAGTTTAAGTAACCCTTCAGGTGCCAGAAGTGACAAACATAACCTTTCTGCTAACAGTATCAATACACAATCATGAGAAAAGATTGTGAGAAATAATAAAATTATCGCCTAAGAGAAAATGCTTTGATCTTCTACCAAATTCTCTCAACTTATTCTCCATGGGACGAATTTGCCACCATGTTGAAATGCGTCCCCCATAACAGTCCCACAATGCACCTTGAAAACCATCTCGGCCCGGACACCAGAGCTAGTTCAGCTAAATTTTGCTACCCTTCACTAGACTAAACTCCCCTGATCCCCCCTATCTTAGAGTAGCTTTTAGGCTGCGTTGCGCAAATTTAAACTGGCCGATTTAATTTTTTTACAGTTTTGAGTGGCAATTCCCGGTTTCCCTAGTCTACAATAAATCTTCAAACAAAAGAGTACTAAAGTGTGACGTCATAAAAAATTAAAATTGTGAAATAACGGGATTTGCCAGGATATTTTAAAACAACATCCAAAAGGCGTACTTGCCAAAAACTTGCATTGTGGGGTAAATTGTCTGTGAGATATTAGCCCAGTTATGCTCTGATGACTCCATACAAATCCCTCTAAATTTGACTTGGGTCTAAACGTTCAGACCCAAGTGATGTTGCGGGTAGGTAGGGGACCCCAGGTAGGTGAGATAACCCGCTTGGTTGGAGTAACCCACCTGTATGTAACATTTTAATAATCACGTTTACATGCTAAGTGGGGTGACCCGGCAAGAAGGGTTGCCGGGTCTGTCAGACCAGGTAACCCCCTCAGTCAGGGCCAAATTTTGCCAGGTAAACGTTTCAAGTGGGGTAGCCGAGGACAGATTCGAGTTAACATTTTTCGTTAACTGCCTTTTGCAGAGGTTTTGCATTTCATTAAAATACAATAGAAAGCGACAGCACTGAGAGATTGCAGCAAGAACAACAGGTGAGAGTAGAAGAGCATTAACCGCCAAAACACGTGGTTTGCCCGCTACCTTTTCTTACGAGCTTAGCGACCATTCAACAATCTCCAGAAAGTGCACTTCAGATGGCGGAGTTGTAAGATTTAATGTAAACCCGGGTGATTTTTTTTTACCCCGTCTGCAAAGGTTTCCTCAAGAACCTGGGGTCAACCACCTCCGTGTACACGGGCCCTAAATGTCATTTCCTTTTACGCTACACCAGCAGATTATAGTTTGGTTCTCTTTCTCCAGAATCTTCTGAGTTATGACACAAGAGAAGTTACAAAACTCTTAAATATTAGAGGACGGATGTTGGGCTTAAGACTTTTCAATTATACCCTGGAAGTGACATAGATGTTTTCGTAAACGGAAAACAGCTCAGTAATGTGGATTGTGCTACCTTATTAGGCGTAGAAATTGACAGCAAATTGTCATTTGATGAACATATTGAGAAAGTATGTAAAAAGTTGGCCTCTAGAATCGCAATACTGCGTAACATTTGAGCCTGTCTACCTCTTAAACAGCGACTTCAGTTTTATAATAGCATCATTCGCCCTGTTATGTCTTACGCTAACGTTGTTTGGGCAAATTGTGATAAAGAGTCGGTTTATAGGGTCTTAAGATTGCAAAAACGTGCGGCACGCGTTATTTCTTATGCCGATCGCATGACACCATCAGTCGCTTTGTTTAACAAGCTAGGTTGGATTCCGTTTTATGAGCAACATAAGATAGATAAATACATAATAATGTATAAGCGAATTAATGGGTATTTGCCGAATTATCTAAATGAACACTTAATTTTGAATAATAAGCGGCACTCCCGCAACACTAGATATTCAAGCATTAATGCTGTTTGTCCTAAATATAGAAGAGAAACAGAGGGAGGACGCTCTTTCGCTGTTTCGGCAACAAGACTGTGGAACAGTACACCAACTGAAATTAGGAAACTAGATTCTGTAGCATGTTTTAAAAAGAACATGTTTGCCAAGATTTTTAAAAAACAACAATGTTTGCATCATTTTATCATTTAATAATTTTTTATTTTTATAAAATTCGAATCCTGTTTTATTTTAATTGTTTATATATTTTAGCTTACTATATTTATTAGATTGTAAATAGTTGTGTATTTTATGAGGGCCACAAGTTTATTAGCCTTTGGCTATTAAATGCTACCCTCTTTAAATATAGGCTTTATTACTATTATTATTAAGAAGGCATCACTTACTAATTTAGCTTGTTTGTCCCAATCTGTTCTCCACAGAAGAGATAAATATAAACAAGCCTGAAATGAAACAGGGAAAGATAAGATAAAATATTGTCAGTAGTGTAAGCACAAGTACACAAGTAAAAGAGCTATGCCATGCATTCCAAACTTCTATTTTTGATCATACTGCTAACAATCTTTCTGACAACATTAAAGAAATTACTAGCAAAAACCGTGGACGACGATCCTGCTGGTTGTCAACGTTGGATCTCTAGAAAAGAGATCTAATCGGCGAAAATATGAAAAACAAAAAAAGCGAGACGTCTAAAGCTTACTGCAAAGCTGATATAGCAGCGTGTATTGCTTTTTTTGAAAACAATATTTCGGCTTGCCACACCAGCCTTCTTCAGGCTGTTCAGGTTTACAGATGTTAGTGAAGCTATGATAG